CTTTCCATTAGTAATAATAGGAGAGACAGAAGGTAGCCAGATGGTATTCAGATATTGAACAGAAGATACAATAGACATACTAATATATATTTTTAACATTTTAAAAACTTTATTTCTCAATTATGACCAAGCTATCAAAATCTAAAGAAATAGGCAAAATGGAGATATTGAGTAAAATATTCTAGGGGTGTACAAAAGCAGCACTATGGTTATAGAAAGGAGATTAAATAAATTTCACATATCTAAACCTAAACCTTTTCAAAGAATTTTAAATTTTAGAAAAAGGTTTTCATTGATGACTAAATAGAAAAAAATAATTGAAAAAAATAAAAAAGTAAGAATTATATTTCCCTTTGCTTTCTTAATTCAGTCCTGCTTGTAACCACAAATCTTTCAGTTTTCATCTACTTCAGTATCACTTGTTTTGGCTATAAATGTTATCTCTTTTTTTTTTTTTTCTTTATTCTCATTTTTCTTTCTTCCTTTCTTAAAACCTATTTCTGGCATAATATTGTCTCCCATTCACTTGATTAATTCATAAATTCATGCAGGAAACAGGAGAAAATCCACAATTAAAGAGGCAAAACCAGCAACAGACCCTTGAGTCCAGGGACTCAGTGGTTCATATTCTTATGTCTAGGCCATAGCCTCTAGATTTAGAAGAAAACACTATTTTTCCTTTCAGAAGACAAGACAGCAACATTTGCCAATTTCACACCACCTAAGATTTTCTCCTAGGGCTGATACAGCTGCCTGACTATTTACCATTCCTCTAATTCACTTAAATTTAGCTTCTCAGCTCTCTTAAGACCACAAACATACAAATATGTCACTTCATGGAAAAGCCACATACACTTCAAGAGCACCCAGGATCGATTTTAGGTAATTTCCAAACTCAAACCAGTGTATAAATCAGAAGTGTCCACCTGGGGAAAATTTAGACCAAAGAGAATGAATTTGACTCATTTATTTTACTTTACACAATATGCTCTAAAGGACAAAGGAGAAAAGAAATTTCTATTAACTGTGCGAGTTTTCCCCATTGCCCAACTAAACCAACAACACATGGGAATGCTTCATAATAACCACAAGGCAACCCAAAAAGCAAGCAAAGCACCATATCACAGCAGAAAGCTCACAGATTTGGATGCACAAACATAAACTTTTGTAAAAATTTTCACCACATCTCTTGAGTTACTCTACTGCAAGGAATAGAGAGTGAGCTTCTTATTACAGCTACTGAGCACTAGACATCTCATTGAATATCTAAAAAAACCATAACAATTTCAAACCAAGTAATCAAAATGTGGCTGAAAATCAACCTAAAGATAATTAAGTAATTCATGGCATTTGTATGCCACTAAATATTTCTGCCACCATAAGAAAAGTCATTCCTAAAATCCTTAACAAAGAAGAAAGAAGTATCTAGAGTTCATTTTAGTCATGATTTACTACAGTAAACAACAAACATCTAAAAATAAAAAGCTAATCAGTCCCCAGAATTGGAAGTCTAATTAGTAACACTGAATTGTCTACAAATATGTCCACAACTCTGCTTCTCTTTGTTTTATTTACTTTTTAAAAAAAATTTTAGGGCAAAACAATAGTGCCCGAGTTGTACACTTACATTTCAAACATGTATTAAGGGGTAGAACAAGAAATAATTTAACAGCCTCCAAATACTTACATTTGTTAAGCTTTTAAACTTGTGGCAAACTAACTATATCCCTTCAGGGCTAAACTGCTGCAAACATTATTCAGAGAAGTCTTCTTTTCTTCAGAAACAATTAAAAAAGAAAATGTGTTCTACATTGCATAAAGCTGTTTTACAGGGTGTTTGGGGACGGCTACTCGTCTCAATTCCAACTAAATAAATATTTATTTCTCAACTTCCTGAATTAGCCTAAATACTTTACCTGCATAAGATCATTTTTATCCATAGCAAGAGCATTACTAGTGCACTGAAAACTAGGTCAGGTTGACAAAATCAAGATATCATTTTCAAAGCCCAAATCTTTAATTTTTTTTCACTCTTTTAGGCAAGGTATTAAAAATAACTACAAACATCAAACTCTTCTCAGTGGGGCCCAGCATGTCATTTCTTCATCTTTCCAGTACTGTCAGTTTGCTGGTTTAGCTATAAAAGAAGTCTCTGAAGAGAAAATTATTAATGAAGTACTGTTATGAAAAAATGAAATTACAGACAAGTAGTTGTCTTAAGTCTTCTATTACTTTTACTAATTATTTTTTAAGTGCTACAGCAAACAAAAAACTGACTGAAGAAACTCACAGCGGAAGGTCAAGAGGATCTTTACACAGAATTCTTGTCATAAAATGTTTGTTTCTAACCTTTTATACCAACTTCTATTGATTAACCTGGCTGTGACATGCTATAATTCTTCGGAGTAACATCTAATCCTACTTGTGTGGAACCTAATCCACACAAGTGTCAAAGACATTGGTAATTACATCCAGAACAAGGCATAGTCCATATTCTTGATTTCTTTTTCACTTTAGAAAGTAATGCAAAGCTCGGTGGGAATTCCTGGAGCAGGCTGCAAACTTTACTTGAAAGGAACAAGCTGTAGGGAGCTTTCAGGAGGCCAGCATCCTTTTCCTTCCACAGCACTTCATGGTATTGATGTCTCTCAGATTTGACTGGGAGAACTTTATCATAACTTAAAATAAACATAAACATCTTTCACAAGTAGCTTCTCCTTTCCACAGGAAGAATTCTGTCTGAAATCCACTCGATCCAGCACACCAAACCACAGAACAAGACCAATTGTTCTGTAACCCACTCCCTTCTAATTGTCACCACTCTTCCGTAATTCCACATACAGATGAAAATGTTTCATCATCCTCTTCTCATCGAGGCCTTAAAAAGACTTGTTAAAATTGTATGCAGAAGGCTTATGATCTAATAAAGGTCATAGCAATTCAAAGAGAATTAAAGATCATGGATTATCCATACTCAAGGAGCATCTGGACGATGTTCTTAGTCACACAGTTCAGTTTTAGTTAGTCCTATGAGGAGCAGGGAGTTGGAATCAATGATCTTTATAGATCACTTGAGATATTCCATAGTTCTATGCTATATGCTGTTAGTTTTTATTACACTAAATACAATGTATGACTTTAAGCTATTATCTTTCATTCTACATGCGCCACTCACAAGAACTCAGTGCTGCTGACACGCACACACAAAAGAAGCCCAGTCCAACCATCCAGCCAGGTGACTGAAGTTTTCCAGCATTAACCTATTACTACCTTTACTCCCAAATGTGCTATTTACACTCTGCTTTATCAAAATGCTGCTCTAACAGGTTTCCTACAACTCTCTTATAATTCCTCTTCAGTGATCTCATTCCACAGGCAAAAGGTACCTAGACCCATCCTATAGTGACACCTAAATGACAGTTCCAGAGCAGAAACAGGGCAGAACCTCCTTATAAGTAAAAACCTAATACCTAGTGCTCTTTAAAACAAATAACTTTATTATTCTCATACTGTATGAAGTCTTAAAAGATATCTGTTCATTCATGCATTGTTACTGAATATTGTTCAAGACACCTATAGGTGTTCAGAAAAGATGACTTCAGCTGGTACATAACTCTTCATGTACACTTCTTCCTTAAAAAGTATAAGAAAGGAGGTTTTTCCTAAACCTGCCTAAGAACAGCAACATCTGATGTTTGCAGGCCCCTAAATCAGATTAACAATTGTACCTAAATAATTCAAATTCACAGTGTAAAACATATCGCTCCACAAACATTTCAGACTGTTGGATAATTGTTCCAGGTCTTCCCTGCCATGATAAACAACAAAGTCCTTCTACCTCGACAAATGAACAAGGGACAAGAGAAGCCCCTGGAGGCAAGCGCTGCTTTGTGATGCCCCATGTTTCTTGCTGCTTGTTTTCCTTCTGTACTAGACAGACATTTCAGGCTCTGAGTAATACTGGACTAACACTTCGGGGAGATGCAAGGGACTTATTTCCTGTCGTGTTATCCATAAAGCATAGCACAAGTCCAGTCATTTGGGAATGCGTATTAGGTTCTTGCTATGGATTTTTTTCCTGGACACATAATGACTTTCTAAATACGTGCATCATACCATTCAAGTGCAAAGAAAAACTATTATCCTGCTACATTAAGTCATTTAACCTAAATGGGAGTAGGAAACGTTGAGTAGCTTTTATAAAAACTTAAAAGACTCTGTCTCCTGCTACAATTACTGGTTTTCCCCATCCTGTTGCATTGCCTTTTTTATTTTATGATAGGGTTTTATAAGATTTCCATTTTTTTTCTAACCTTATAACAACCAGACAAAACTGCTTTTGAAAATTAATAAAGTTCTACTCAAATTTGTAGAAAAACAGTCAGACAATGAAGAACTGAGGACCCTACAATCTGCTTGTTTACCAGAAAAATAATACCTACGATATAGTAATCTGATGAGAAAACCTTTAATCCATCTCCAAAACAGGACGCTCACAATGAAAAATGTAATTACATTCACCTCTGATAAATAAAACTGTTCTTAAAAAAGAATCAGAACAACACTGGGCCACAAAACAAACAAACAAAAACCACCAAAACAAAACAAACCCAAAACACAACAATGAGCTCGTAACATCAACGCGTAAAGTTTAAGAAGAGCAGCCTTTAAAGCCTAAGTTTGTATCTGCATCTTTTGTTTCCTGCCCTCGCTGTGTTCGCATCTGCCCTGGATGCCTCAGCACTTCACCGCTGTGAACCCGGCTACCAGGGGCAGCATCAGGACACTGACTGAGGTTGAGCAAAGTGATATAGGTCGACCAGGCAAATTGGCAGTAACTAGAAACCAAAGCGACGCGCCGTGACAAATCCAACACACCGCGGTAAGCTGCAACTTTCAGCTGAGCCCCTCCGCTACGCCCAGACACGCAGCCGCGCATCGCGGCCCCCCCAGTTCCGCGGCTCCCGGCGCTCCGGCCGCCCAGCGACTCGCGAACTTACTGCAGTGCGATGCGGGCGGGAGGGAGCGCTCGGCCCCGGGATGCGAGAGAGCCCGGCGCCCTGGGCAGCGGCGGGACCGGCCATCCAGCCGGGCCACCGCCAGCCACGGCGGCGACACCGCCGCCCTCAGCCCCCCGCCCCGCCCCGCCGCCGGCTGCCGCAGCCCAGCGCGCCCGGCCCGGCCCCGCGGGGTCACCGCCGCCCTCGGCCCCGCTTCTCGCCGCCCTCCGCGGCACAGCGCGGAGCCGGCAGCCGCCCTCCCTCCTCTCGGGAACGGGCAGGCGCCTCCGGGCGGCGCGGTTTTAAGCGGCCGTGCGCCAGCACATCTCCCACCCCCTTCCCGGCCGGGCGGCAGGGGGAGGGGAGAAGCGACACACACACACACTCACACACATACACACACATACATACATACACACACACGCAGAGACACCCCCTCCGCAGCCCCTCCCGCCCCCGCGCAGCTGCCGTACCTGTTGTCCAGCGCCCGCATCCCCCGGGCGCCGCCCGCCGACTGCGCGCCCGCTCCGCGCCGGAGCAGCGGTGCGGCAAGACCCGCGCAGCGCTCCGCAAAGCTCCGCTCCCCTTTCTCAGCCCGCTGCCCCGCGCCGAGAGGCGCTAAGCCCGTGCAACACTTACCCAAAGTTTACAGGCTCTCCCCGCCGGTGGCGACCGCCCAGGGCTGCCGGTCGCCCTCCCCGCTGCGAGCTGGCGGGGCTGTGGCAGCGGGCACGGAGGGCCGAGTGCGGCCCGCCCGCTCCCACCTGCCCGGCCGGAGCTGCCGCGGGGAAAGGCGCCGGGAGAAGGCGGCGGCCGCGGAGCGGCTCCCACGCAGGTGCGCGGGCACTGCGCCGCCGGAGCCCGCGGCTCAGGGAGCCGGGAGAGACTGCGCCCTCCTGCCACAGCACCGTCCGGTCCTCGGCAGCGCCGTGCCCCGGCAAGGCCGGCCCTGTGCCCGGCCCGGCAGCCGCCTCAGCAGTAGCCCGCCGTGCCCGGCTCGCCAGGCGCCGTCCGGCCGAGGCACCTTGGCTCACCCCGCTCCGCGGAACGTTGCCTTCGGCCCCACTTTCCTCCCGCACCTGTATCGGAACATCTCTAAGGGTAGCAACAACCCAGCTAGGGCCTGTAAGAATTTGCAGATTTACTCAGAAAGAAAAAATGAGGGACCGGAATACCTATGGCATGGAAATTAATGTCTTTGTGCCGGTGCCTACCATTTAGCAAGACACGGAACCAGGGAGCTGATCAAACTTTCACTGACAGGTTCCCAGTGTGTTTAATGAGAGATTTCTGTGCACTACCAGCTTCTGTCTTCACCAAGTCTTGAGTGGTCACATAAGCCTCAGAACTTAAGCTGGGAACCTGATTCTATGTTTAATTATAATGACATTCATTTCTATTTCTATTCACTTTGTTGATATATGGCACTAAAAGACTAGCTTTGAAAGATGTTGTAGGCAATGTAGATGAAATTTAGTATGTTGCTAATAATTTTGTATAATAAATCCATTGAAGCTTCAAAATAAAAAATAATTACCAGCAAATTTTGGTTTCTTTTGTATATGTATCCATTGTTCCTTTCCAAAATGTTCATTTAAAGAGTTTGATTTTCATAAGACACAAGTTCTAGAAATTCTTGGAACCCTCTTTATTTTAGGAACCATGCAAAACCATGCAAAACCATGCCAGCCTAATCCTGTTTATAGAGAGGTATCTTAAAGCATTCCTTAATTCACCTAGTGCACTGAACATGGTTTCCTCAGCATAAATGGTACCAGCTCTCTATAAATTAGCTTCTCCACACCACCATTAAAGATATTTAAGTGTTTTGAATTAGCATATTTCCAAAACTCATTGACACTCCAACTTTTTGTTTAACAAGAGTTCAAAAATTTAGATGAGCATCCTGTGTATAAGTAAAATGTAACTTCATGTTATATAATGCCATAAGTACATATTTACACCATATACTCAGTTATACAAAGGCATTCATAACCAAAATTTCATTTTGATGTGGTTTTGATTGTCTTAAATGAACTCTGATTGTATTCTAAATAATCCGTTCAATTCTCTTCATATTCTCACAAAACCGAAAAAAGCAACAACTTTTTTGTAACTTTGGAAAAATATGTTCTCAGATGCATAGCATCATACCTATTAGGCTTTCAATTGGCATCCAGTAGTCAACCTTATAAATATCTTTCCAAATGCCAGCTTCAGTTGCACATGCCAAGTACTTGCCTTTAGTTCCTTGTGTCTAATCTATTGCTTTCCCTTTAAAACACTGATTTCAAGAGATTATTTTTCTCCCAGGGGAGGAATTCAGTCCCAGTATATTTGAGCCTCAAGTTACTAAATATGGATCAAAACACTGAAATACAGTGAGTAGTTACTCAATTGTGATAAATCATTCCAGTGCAACACAAAATTTTTATAGGCCTTGCAATAAAATGTTACATCTCATGGTATGAGGCAGAGGACAGGTTTTGAATCATGATATTGCCTTAAAAATTGCTTTGAAGCACTCTCAGTTACACATGGTCATATAAAAAATAAAAATTGCTGCAAAAATGTGATCCTAATTTAAAATACATTTTCTTAAATTGTGCAGAATTTCCCTATATTCACTTAACTTAGGCTTTTACTGTTCTCTTCTACTGTGTATTAAAACAGGGTCCAACTTCATTTCCTATTGAAATGGCAAAGGTCCCACAAGTTCATTTGCAGTTTGGAATGACAACTCCATCGACCCTTGTAGCTTTAAAACTCCAAAGAAAAATTTGGAGGTCTTATGACACAGGAAGAAAACTTAACCCCTTCATTAAACATTTCATTTGTGCTAGGAAAGCAACAACCCTCACACAGGTGCAAGCCAACTCAGTACAGCTGAGCTGTGAAAGATCAATGTAAAAGATGTCAAACTGAAGGACCTAACATTAAGATTCTTTTTTCCACTTAGGAGATTGCCATCCATATGCCTACTTTTAGAAAAATTGTTGTATTATGTGCCATTTTGAGAACAGGTAGAGGATGGGGATAAATGGGTTATGGTTTGTGGCTAAGGGCTTCCTCAGCACAGAGCTCAGTGGCAGCCTTTGTGCATTAGCACATTTGCATAAGCATCTTTGTTCTGGTTTCAATACAAAGCTCCATCCTCCTGTTCCAGAAGCAGGAGGCTGCCCAAACTGTATGTGCTCCTGTCCTCCCCTCCTTTAATCAAGCTCCTACCATAAGCAGATTAAAATATGCGAAGTTTGTCGGTTAACAGCTCACTCCCTCACAGGAAAGAAAATAACAGATGTCTAGAAGCCACAGCCAGAATTTTAAATATTAAATTTATTATACTATATACATAGATCTGTGTTTGGATATTTAAATGAATTTTGTTGCTAAGCGTGACTTTAAGTTGCTCATTTAATAAAACTATGATGAACTTGGAGCCCTACATTTTTATATGATTCATGAAAGAATAAAGAACCTAACTCAAGAATCCTAACAGAAAAATTATTCTCGATTTCCAATATGTTTTATTTGCTTTTCATACACTGCAACAGTCATCTGCAGTTAGTAGTTTGGAAATAAACTGAGTTCAGGCTTATAAAGCTGACTTCAGGGGTGGCATTACTCTACATCGCAAGTGCAAACTATTGAAAAGTAGTCTGACTCCATGTAAAATCAGCTAAGGTAACAGCAAGCTATATATAAAGTATTTTTCTGAATATATGGTTTTAAGAAATAAATGTAGTTCATCAAATTTCTTAAAGAAAAGATAAATCTTATCAAAATTTGATTCATCTACCTTAGAACATTTTTACACTATATGAAGAGTTTTGTGGAGTAAATGGAATTAAATGGAAAAAAACCCCTTTCTTCACAGTAATTCTATACTTCATGAGTTTTTATCAGAAAATGTCAGTGTAGAGTAGACTACATTGCTCCCTCCCAGAAACAGAAAATTCAGGCAAGCAATCAGTAGTAGGGATCCAAAGGAATCAAACCATTTCATCAGAAACAAGACCTTTCACAGATTATGCTGATATCACTTTACATTAATTATTGTAGTGATAACAATATACCATAGAATAGTACGTATAGTCCACTTGACCCATATACTTATTTACACAGTAATATACCTATACCTATTGACACAGTTGGAATGGGAAAAATTTTTGTGAAATACTCAAAATACCCAGATTTGGAGGTGTACTATCACTCATATTACTGATATTCTACATGTGTATATATATTCACATATATGTGTGTGTATAAAAGCTAGGGTAGCTGAAAGAAAATAAGCCACAGAGCATACATTTGTACTTGAGAAACTCAAGGACTGTTGAGAAACTAGAGGAAATTACATTAATCTGCTGAACTATTTTTCTGGGCTTGTTATCTAGTATACCAGATACTCTAACAGAACCTTTAGCTATTCTTTCATTAATTCAATTAAGATTTAAGACTGAAAGCATCTAAATTCAGACCTGGTGAATTAACGCTGGCATACAAGATTATTTGCTTGATCCAAGTGCCACAGATCAGTCAGTCTTACTTCTGCCCTGGGAGAATCCTAGGCTGACTCCTCTTGGAATACATTCTGAGTCATATGAAGGACAGCAGGATGCGTGGGAACAATCTACATGAATTTACTAAGGGTAAATCTAGCCTGATCAATTTGACTGTCCTCTGTGAACTGACTGAATATATGGATGAGAGAAAAATGGAAGTACCAGTGGATGGTACTTATCTTGGCTTTTGCAAGGCTTTCTAAGCTTATTCTCACAACAGTCTCCTGTCCAAGTTGGGACATAACAGACTGGATTGGTGGAAACTAGATACGTGTGCAACTGGTTGGATGGCTGGGCTAAGCCGATATTGCTTAATGGGCTGTACTCTATCTAAATGCCAATAGAAAGTGTCATTACCGAGGAATATATCTTTATATCTTTATATCTTTAAGGATAAAGGATATGTCCTTACATCGTTATCAGAGACCTGAAGGACACAGAGGAGTCCTCGTTCATAAAGTCTGCAGGTGAGAAGACTAATTAACCCCTGCCAAGGGTAGGACTGCCATCCAGAGGGACTGAGACATGCTGGAGGAAAGGTCTGACAGGAACCTTGTGTAATGC